TTGGTCTTTTTTATCTATATTGTAGCAGAAGAGTATTTTCCAGGGCAAATATTATAAAACAAAAAAAGTAAAATGCCTTTTCTTCAAGGGATTATTTTTGAAATTCACTACAAAATAACTGTTATTTGTGCTTCTATAGCTGATTTAAGGCAATCGGATTGTGCACAGCAGTATTGTTGTGTTCTCAAAGATAAATAAATGAAGCCTACAACAGCAAAAACTAGGCATTGTTTGATACACACAAACGGGGACAATTCAGGCAATATTACATTTCGTTCATTTCAATGGGAGGATAAAGCGCTGCTTAAATCTCATCCATTTAATTCCACAGGGCACAAAATACTTAATTTTGCCTGGAGGACAACCACTTCTTGACACTTTCTAGTATAAATTGTGTTTTTAAAAAGCACACATTCCGTTGTTATAAACACCAAGGATCTTCATATCATCATGCTTACTCGAGCTCAGCCTGTGATTCCAATTACTAGCACTGTTCATCCATGCCATTTTTTTCCTTCATTGTAAACAATAATTTTGTGTTTGGGTAAGTATAGAAATGTTCTGTTGTGACACAGCATTGGTGATGATTGAAGTACTCCATTTGTAGGAATGTGCCCCACATGGACCATCACAAAAACCATGCCTGAAAAGTTGTGCCCCAAGGATTTTTTTTATTATTGCTTAGGCAGTCTCAATCGTACAAGCCACCCCAATAGTTATATTACATCCTCTGTTGCAAACATATTAAATCTTCTGTGACTGGAGACTTTTAAGTATGAAGAAAGAGTTCTGTTGGCCTCATAAACTCACACAATATCTCTGACTGTAGTGCTGGTAGTTCTGTATCAGAAATGGGAACAAGAGGTTTGTGGAGAAGAGTTGGAGCTATCACTGCCGTTGCAAATACAACCCAGACTTAGTGGGTGGATGGGAAATGGTGGCTGCAAAATACAAAAATGCCATTGTTCTCAAAAACAGAAAAGTATTAGTTGCTGGAGTGGAGAGCTTTTCTTATGGTCTAATGCAGGCATTTCTCTAAATTATGCTACTTATAATCCAAAGGCCAAGAAACCCCATTTGTATTCTTCATTGTTATATTGCTTCTATAACAGAAATAACAGTGAAAGTTCTCTAGCTATAGTTGAACTAAATCTTTTATTCGCAAGGATTGGGGGTGCTGGCTAGAGGTGCTGGCAGCCAGAGCTCAGCAATATCTGGGGAGTCACATATAGCTCACTCCTGAGTTATGTTGTGCCTGTGAAAAACATCATTTCAAACATTTTTTTTTAAAAAGACTCTTAATTTTTACATTTGTAAAGCGCTCTTAAAGTTTTTCTTTCAGCTCGATGTGGACACAGCGTAGGCAGCTTTGCCACTTGCCTTCCTTTCTATTCCCCATCTAATTTGCAATTTTTATGGGTAAGGATGGCAGAAATGGTGGCACTTGATTCTCTCTGTACAATCTTCAATGGCTATGGAATTGGGGCACTATAGGACTAGAATGTCAAACTGGCGGCCCACGGGCCGGATGCATCACACACAAGCCATGCCTTCCTCAGCTCCGTGTAGGCAAAAGTTGCCATGATACATCACGTGACATCAATGTGACGCAGTGAGTTTGACGCCTATGCTATAGGACAACAGAGATACGGTCTCCAGATAGGAACATCTGCCAGGCATTTTTTAAAAAACAACATCTTCTTTGGTATAAGCAGCCAGCAGTTCCCTTTTTGGGGGGAACCAGATCCCCTTCGCAAGCTGCCAGTTCATTAGCCAGGCCTGTCATACCTGAGAAAAAATGTTGTGCCTATACATCATAAACATGGTATGTGTTTATGCTTCAGCCAACAGAAGCAGTAGATAACCTGGAGGAGGAGTCCTATAAATAGCCAGTCACAAAGATTTAGAATTCTTGCAAACACCTATTGCCTTTCTAGACAAACCACAGGGCAACACTCTTACTATAAAATTTTGCTTTCAGGCAGATCCATTTTCCTTTCTTGCCATGCTACTTTTTAAAAAAAGGGGGAGAGAAAGAAAGAAATAAGAAGGCATTCTGTTTTTGGAAAAAAGGCAAACACCTGGAAGCTTGGACGACACGTGTGTTTGACTCATTAATTACATTTATGAAGGCGCTTTCTAATGGGCTGCACAAAAGTCCCTCCTGTAATTCATAGAGATGCTCAACAGTTTTATTGTAAGTCGGGGCCCATTATTCTGCCCAGCTGCTAGAGAACCACTGCTGAACGATTGTTTCTCCTATTAAGCAGTCAGCATAAACTCTCCTTGTTACAGCCTGGGACATCGCCTCCAGGGCAAGCGGACACAGAAGAGCAATTGCCGAATTGCGTATGAAAATTATAGTTTTATTGTCCGTACAAATGAAGATTTGACTCTGACACCCGCTCCGCTCTGCTTTTGTGATAAAGAAGCAATTCTTTCACCAAACAAATAAGCACAGCACACCATTGTAATCCAAGAAACAGGCACTATTTATGCATTGGAAAGACAGGCTCACATTTGTACTGAAGAGCTAAAGAGTCTAAGGTCCCAGAAGCTGCTTTTTTAGTATATTGGGGGTGTGGGGGGCTGGAATGAGTGCCAATACATTAGACAGAGCTGGAAAGCGCTTGTGGCATCATTTTTGCTAATTTAACAGGCATGACTGATAAGTTGGGACCATGTATTTTATGTTTATGTAAGCATCTTCACCACCATAGCGCTCAAAAGCTTCCAGTGTCTCTTGAATTAAGTCTCCAATATTTTCTCGCTTCTGCTGGCTATAATCAATGCCATCGCCAGAGTTCACTGAAATAAAAAAAAAGACAGAAAGAAAATTAGTTGTGGGTGGTTGTGGGTGCTCCACCACTGGGGGTTTTCAAAACAGATTAGCAGGATCCATTGTACCTAATACCACCTTTTTCTGCTATATGTCATAGATTAGTGTATGTTAACGGTACGTTCATTCGGTAACTTCTTCCTCATTTTTGGTACAACTAGAAATGCAGGAAATGTCCTAAAACAAATACAGGTCTATCTTCTTGCAAGTTATTCAGCAAAAACCTGCCAGGCAGACTGCAAAGTTTCTTCCAGACATCTTGCTGACAGAAGAGCATGTTCTGCCAACCAACGAGTTACTCTCGGTGTGTATGCCAATGGGGATATACTGAAGGAGTACAGAGATTGATGAAAATGAGAGCCACTTCAAATGCATTTTGTTGCCGTAGAGTTTGCCTGAAACCCAGGGATCGAGGCATTCCCTCCTACATAAGTTAGGGGGCTGCCTAATATCTAAGTATCTATTTGTAGGGACATTGCCATGAATCTGATACTTCATATCCATGCCAATGTTTTGGTCCACGTTCAACCTTGCTTGATAATGAGTTGATACTGAGGCAGTCAATTAGTTCTGAGTAAGGCCAAGCCTAGAAACAAAAGAGAAGGGAGTAGTATATTTTATTATAATAGCTATACTACCAGAAATTGTCAGTCGATCGAGACTATTGCCAAAAAATGAGGGTGGGGAGACTAACCCAGAAAGGAGATAAAAATTTATTTGCATCATATTTGTTTATGCTAATTTTAGTGCACGGATATAAATTTTAGAAATAACTGTTATTCGTCTGACTTTACTGCTACGTCATGATCCTTTAATTTTGTAAACCAGATCTGGTTGCCATATTGCACAGGAAAATACATCTCACTGAAGCAAAGAAAACAAGGACCAAAGGACTTGGGCATCTGCTTTGTTTGCTTATTTTTCAGGCTAACCTTAAGACCATGGCTTCTCCTAGTTTATTAACCCTTTTATATTTAAATTGGATTTGCATAGGATACTCTTCAAATGGAGAAATGGTTCCAGGAAAAGAGAACATATGGCCGTCCTGCCCTCATTAACAGGGGTCTCCAACCTTGGCAACTTTAAGACCTGTGGACTTCAACTCCCAGAATTCCTCAGCCAGCTTTGCTCAACTCTGGGAGTTGAAGTCCACAGGTCTTAAAGTTGCCAAGGTTGGAGACCCCTGCTCATTAGCACTACGCTGGGCCTTTTCCTGCTTTCTTGATGAAATTGACAGTATTAGAATATTCTTCATGATACCAGGAAGATTCTGAATCATAAATTGGTTCTAGATATCAGGTCAGGCAGGTTTCAGCCTCAGGATCTGAAGCTCCTTTCTAACTTACAGTTGAGAGTGAAGTGCAAAAGAGCTGGATACCTAACAAATTATTTTGGCCGCTGCCAAATACCAGAACCAGTTGTTTAGGGAGACTGAGTTCAAGACTGCAGAATTGGCAAAGAAGATGCTGTGTTTGTTACAAACTCTTCTATTGAAGAAAATACAATATAATCTTAGTTCACCCAATTTTCTTCTGAACAAAAAATGTATTGAATTAAGTCAAAGTCAGGAATAGACGTTATTGGAAGTTCTGTGCGAGAGCAGTGTTTTTCATCTATTCTGCAGTGAGGCAGCTCAAGAGCTTATTGGGAACACATATTTGCTGCAAGATGACATTCAAGTAAAAACATTCTAGATACTGGTGCAAATATGAAATACATGTAAAATGTAGACAACTATCTTTTTCCTGGGATTTTGACGACACACATGTATTTGAAAATAGGTCTCAAAGATATAGAAAAGTGGCATCAATCTCAAACATAAATTACTTCTAAATTAATATTCTGTACAGTTTCAGTGATGGTCGGTGGGACAATGCTGGAATAATGTTCATAAATCATGGCCATATAAGGGAGCATCCTACAACTCCTGAAGCCGAAGTATATTCAGAATCATACCAAAAATAATTTGGCAATAAACACTGGATGATTTAGAGGTTTGGCAGTAAGATACTGGCTTTTTCAATCTCTTATATATTTGGCTCTAACCCTGTCTGGAGAGGTGACTGCTGGAAGGTTATTTCATGGCTCATGTGACATTAAGTGAGCTCACTTTTGTTAATAGCAGACAGGTGTCTAAACCATAAAACTCAAGAGCTCTTCTAACACAATTCATCCATTCCAGTAGCAATATTAGAGAAGTCAACAAAACTAAGAAAGACGCCACATAATCTTTTCTGTCTGGGAGCTGCAGCTGACGCTTTTCTGCTTCAGGTATCTGAATTTTTTAAACAGCAAACTCCTGGATTTTTTTTTTTAAAGGAAAACTGTAATTAAACAATGTTTCTGTTAAGTTTTAAACTGGAAACTTTCTGTATCTAAGTGAAGATCTTAACCGCTATGTTATTTGAGAGGCGAGGGAGGGAGAGAGGGAAAAGAGATATAGCAGCTATTAGAATGCAGGGGTAAGCATTGACTAGGTTGAAGAGGCAACCTTGCCTTTGAAAAGTAGCTGATACATTGCTGAGATTAGCCTACAGTCAACTGAAATGCTCTAGCTCATGGGTTTCCAAACTGGGCAACTTTTAAGACTTGTGGACATCAACTCCCAGAATTCCCCAGCCAGCATGGTTGGATGAGGAATTATGGGAGTTGAAGTCCACAAGTCTTAAGGTTGCCAAGTTGGGAGACCCCTGCTCTAGCTGCAGCTCAAATGGACAGAAGGATTCAAGACAACATAAAAGGGAGAATAGTGTCCAAAGTTCAGCAGAGAAACACACCGTGTGTTTCATTTGAAGGTGAATACGGGATTAAAAGGGAGTGGTGCCATCTGTTTCTGCCCTTCAGAAATGATTGCCTGCCCATTCTAACCATGAGAAAACTGGGCTTCATATTTCTGGGACCATACAGAATCAGGCATTGTTATGAATATTTATTCTTCTGGAAACTCAACCTCACATTCATGAATTAGTAGCAAAAACTTCAGTGATTTCACATTGCTGGATACATGTCATTGTAAACTAGAAAGACGTCATACACAGTATATGCAGAAGAACAGACAGACAGAGAATATAGAAATCAAACCCATATCTCTGCCACCCCCAGAGATTAAATCTTATGCATTTTCATCCTCTTCTTTTGAGCTAACAGACTCTTAGCCACTCCTTTCCCAGCCTTAAGATTGGTGTGGACCTGCTCAGCATTTAACAGTGCCCTTCTCTGACCTGGTTTCTGCTTCAACCCTTACATCCAGTACAGGAGTGAAATCTACTTATCTTCCCTACCGGTTCAGAAGTGTGTGTGTGTGCATCACATGTGATTTTGGATCCTCTGCGCATGCACAAAGTCTTCTACGCATACGCAGAGGATCAAAAACAGGTTACTTCCTGGTTAAAACCAGGAAATAATGTCGTCCAGGTGGGTGGGAGGAGCCTCGGTCTACCACTGCTACCGGTTCACTGAACAACCACCCACTGTCGCTACCGGTTCGGTCAAACTGGTGTAAACCGATAGCATTTCACCCCTGATCCAGTAAGACGATACTACTGAAAACTGAGCAGTATATAATGACCTTCAAGGCTGGACCTGATTTCATTGCTGTAACAAGCTAACACAAGTTACAGATTGGCCCTGGATCCAGTCACTTTGCTACATGCAAGTATTATACAGTCTACCACTTAGTCTCTAAAGTTAAACTACAGAAAGATATTTCATGTCTTTAAAATGACATTCTCAGCATAAAATATTTCAGAAGTAGAAAAAAATAGATAAATATATTGAAGTAGAACAAAGAGATCCATAGGTATCATAAGATAAAGATTATATCACAGCGTCTCCCTCATGTTCAGAACTTTACGTGTTCTCAATTGTGATCATTTATCTTGGGCATGGCATGGGCATCACTGATTTGTTAGGAAAAGAGCAAGGAAGAGCATTCAATTAGGACTTGAAACTTAAACAACTCTTTCAAAAAAAATAGTTGGCGTTCAAGGACACATTGGGTCAAGCTTGCAGATTACATTCTAGTTATAGGCACACCCCTGGGGATACTCCAAGAGCATCAAGCTGGGGAAGTCTCAAGACAGTCCCCATTTTCTCTGCTTGGCAAAGTCAGGGGCTGATAGAGAAGGGCATGGCCTTTTAAAAACAGCAGGCTTCCAAAGCCAGATGCATGTTGTTTTCAACATCTCAAAATAGTTATGGTATGCCTACTTCAGTCTGAAGATACCCAGTGCTATCATTATTCTGGTGCTCAAGGAAAAGGAGGAGGAGGAGGAGAGATCTCATTACAGAATGCAGCTCCTTTGGAGTTGGGAAGCTGCATGTAGGCCACAAGTTGCTCATCATTTGCCGGGGGATGGGGGGTGTCATTTGGTGCCAATGGTTGCCAAAACATACTGCGATTCAACCTTCCCAAAATGACTTTAAGGAGGATGACTTCCTTAAATCCTGGTAATGGATCCTAGTCTCTCCCCCTCAAATATTAGGTATTGTACAGAAAGGAAACACAGAATTATATGTGTGTATTGGATGGAGAGGGAATTAACAACCACTGCAGTCGTCCTTATGTGAGATGTGCCAATAGTTTGTTCCTGTCCAGAAAATTAGGGGAAAGATGCCAGAGTAGCAAAATCACTCTGCTGTAGAAGATATTGCAGCTTGGAGGATTAAACAATAATAATAATAATAAAAGTGAAAGAATCTGACACTAAGAGAAGCTGCATAAAGAATGGCACCAAATGAGGCTCAGATGATCGTTACTGACAATGTATGCTGTGTGCCAGGCTCCTCTCCTCAAGACAGCTATTGTTTTCTCTAATTTCATGACCCAGTTTATAAGCGACATTGCCAAAAGGCTATTTCAGCAAAGAAGTCACCCACTAAGCCCACAATAGCTGCTTTGCACAGCCATAGGAATTAGCAAATCTTTAAGGCAAAGTTGGGAATGATTAACCCACCAGGACAACATCCACCCCAGCATTTGCCAGCACTCGACAGATGAGTCATACTGATTTCCTCAGCACACCTAAGGCTAAGTATCCAGTCATAATAATAATTAGAATGAAAACACAAAGAGGGGAGAGGATAAAAACTTGCCACCAATGCACAACAGTTTCAGCCTGCCTGTCTCTCATGTAATGTTATTTCTGGGTTATTTATTGTATGGTGAACATGTGGGTAACTAAAAAGAAATAGCTGTCTCTATGATGCCAGAACCTGGATTGGATTCAAGCTGTTTACTGAAGTTTCCCTCAGTGGCAGAGAATTAATCAACATGAAGAAAAATTTGGAGGCCACATCTGTCTTGCCAGGCTCCCAAAGTGAAATGTCTAGCAGACACAGCGTGAAGCAAAGGATCTTGTCCTGGGAGGCAGAACAGTTATTATTACTATGCAGAGGGAGAAAAAAAACCTCATTCAACACATAAAAGAACTGCTGATTTAGCCCTCTGGAATTAGAAATAGTGAGAGCTCAGATAATCAACAATTTCTAGATTAAGGCATCTGTTATTACCTGCATAAAGGTGCTTATTATATTTAAAGGTAGCTTCTGTTCTCTTATCTCTTAAGAACTGTTTCAGATGGTGAGGTAAGGCAATCCTTAATTTGAAACTATAGAGAACCAATAGGAGTCAGTGGCTACTGCCGGGCGATTTGGTTGAGGAGACATCCTTTGCCATTGCCATTGCCACAAGAGAACATTTCTGCATCAGTACACTGCAAGTACCTCTTTCCCCCTTGCAGAGATGAGACGACAATATGTTGAGTTTCAAATAATCTTTAAATTAGATATTTTAACTTACATAGCATAACGTGAACATGTTTGGGGTAAAACTGAGCTTTTTTGACACTTATCCAAAATGACCAGCACTATGTCCTTACTGTAAGCAAGAAATATTGCATATGGCATGAATGTAGCAATAGCAAAAGAAATAGCACGTAGACTTATATAAAACTTCACAGTGCTTTACAGCCCTCTCTAAGCGATTTATAGAGTCAACCTATTACCCCCCCCCCCAACAATCTGGGTCCTCGCTTTACTGACCTTGGAAGGATCGAACACCGAGTCAACCTTGAGTCGATCAGGATCAAACTCCTGGAGTGAGCAGTGAGCAGTGAGTTAGCCTGCAATACTGCGTTCTAACCATTGTGCGACCATGGCTCTTAAGTTAGTGTAACTAAGATTCATAATTGAATTTACTCTATTTTTCAAAAAAGCATTATTTGAAAGTGTCAATCAAGCCAGCATGGGCAGAGGAGATCACGAGGTCATTGATGAGTGTAGCATATTGGAGATTGTGAGTTGGAACATAAGAGGTGCATGAATTAGTGCCTTAAATGAAAGAAAGAAAAGCAGGCATATTATATGTAAAATTAAGATAAGGTAAATATGTAATGGATCTGAATGAAAGTGATCTGATCTTGTGGAGTGGAAGAAATGAAGGCGTGGCTTTAATTAAGAATAAAATAGGTAAACTGTGGATCAGAAAGTAGGCAACACTGCCATCTAGAAGTAGGTGAATAAGAAAATAGGAATTCACAGGCTGATGATAGTTACATATTACACTCCAATCAATGGTGCTAATCAAAGATTCACATGTGACTTTGGAGAAAAACTGTACAACATTTTGAACAAATGGGATGGGCTTGAGGAATCATTATTTTAAATGTCATAAATAGATAGGTAAGAACAAGATGACGGATACAAAAATGATTAGGACATTTGGAGATTCAAGACTGAATGCAAATGATGGTTTGGTGAATAGCATCAACATTATAGAATGCCATAGAAGTGTGCTGTGCTAAAGGAAAGTATGAAAAAACTTGGTGAAATAATGATGTGAAAGAGACTGAGGAAGAGAAATAATGCATAAAAGGGAAACACTGCTGTAAAAATGAAGATGGGAATTATATTGTACAAGGAGGAAAAAAGATGATTGCAAAGTATATAATAAAAGAGAACAAGAAAGAAATAAAAGAGAGAAAATATAGATCAATATTGATGGAATAAAAATGATTTAGAAATGGATGAAAAAGGCTCAACAAGGTACCTCCCAAGACTAACAATTCAAGAAGAAAATTGAGGAAATTATTGATGATGAAATTAATGTGAGGGAAGGTTGGAAGGAATATTCTCCATGAGGAAGAGAATGAAATGTTGAAGAGTAAAAATGACACAAATAGTATAAATGTCAGTATGTAAGAAAAAATGGAGTAAAAGTTGCTAAAAGCAAAGTAAAAAAAATTGCTGTGAAAACATTGAAAAAGACTGAAAGTGCAGTTGGTGTAACAGGAAAAACATTAAATGATGAATCTGGTTTGATCATGAAGTGGCTATCCAAACTTTCTCAGGGTTCATGGGAAGTCTGTAACTGTATTTGATAATTTCAAAAATACTGTTACCATTCCAGTTCGCAAAGGAAAATACAGTAAGAGGGAAAGAAAAATTATGGAGGAATTATTTTTTTTTCAGAGTAACCAGAAGGTCTGTAATAAAATCTCAACGGAAATGTTATGAGAGGTGACACTGAGCAAAATTTTCAGAGATGCAGTCTGGCTTTATGCCAAGGAGGGAATGAGCAGATCAGAGATTTGTTTCTTCAGCCATGTTTGAATATATAAATATATTAAAACTTTGTGGATTTTGGAGTTGGAACTATTTGCCGAATCCCACAAGAGGGCTTTTTGATAGAAATAAAGCATATTTAAGAATAAATGGAATACATAGTGAATAGTTCAACACTAAGCACATAGAAAGACAAGTGTAAAAATTCCACTCATTGCTTAATATATTTATTGATGAATGTATACTGTGCATAACTTTTAATGCTTTTAATGTTGTGTCAGTTGTGGATATGAATGTATGCAAAATTTTGTATGCTGCACAAGGCAGTCATGAGCATGGCTCTAACAATGTTTCAGAGACCAAGATAATTGTAATTGAATGGAAAATGGACTGAAAGATTTCAAGTTGTATATAAATGGCAAAAAACAAACAAACAAACGAAGGAGATGAATTTGTATATCATGGTAGGACATTTACCAAGGATAGGGAAATTAGATGCAGAACATTTACGATGCAGAAAAACAGAAGAACAGTGGATAATTTGTCTGGAGAAATGAATGTAAAAGGAGGAAAAAATGGCTATCGGTAGAAGAATGCTTTTGTCCACTTCTTATATAGAAATGAGAATTGAGTATGTCAAGAGACATACAAGTTAAATGCAATCAAATCGGCTACTTAAAAAGTGGATGTAATTAAGCAAGCAGAAGTAAGGTCAAGTATAAATGAGTGATGAATGAATATGGATTGAATTCGAAAGTCAGCGACTAACACAAAAGAAGCAAAGCCAATGGAGTGATTATAAAGAAACTGATTGAAGATATATGAAAGAAGAATGAATGGGTCAAGATGAAGGGGAAGACTAAGGGAGGTGGATGGATGAAGTTAATGAGATCCTCAAAGAAAGTAATGTGAGAAATTTAAAGAATAATGACAGTTCTTTAGGTGCCGTATGGATGTGATAGAAGCAGGGATGGCAGGCAAGGATAAAAAGATACAGAGAAGTATAGTAAATGGATTGGTGTAAATTAGATTTGCTTCTGTTCTTTGGAAGTTCCCCCACTCCCTTTTTTTAAAAAAATAGAAATGTCTCCTCCTACCCCCTTCCACAAGAAATATTTTATCTTTACAGCGAAACCCAATTTACAAATTTTCTTTTACCGGAAAGGAGAAGAAACAAGAAAAAAAGCAAGTCTGAATTGGGACATAATATTATTAAAATATTTTTGCTGTACTTTATTGTCTCGGTAAGTGGTTTCCTGACCTTCAGAATGCATTTAAACTTATATCCCCTTTTGGCTGAATTTTTAATAAAATGAGCGGGATCCAAGAAGGGAAAGGTTGAGAATTATTGGTTTAGATTAGAACATCATGGAAAAGATTGCTGCTGGACATAAAGCTTGTTAGAAGGAAATGAGTTCCAGTACTGAATAAAATCTGTTAATATCTATAGAGGTTCTTTAGCATGAAAATGTACTATAGATATTCTTATACTTCTACTTATAGGGGTGACAGTTGTCTGTTAAGATGTTTAAACTTCTGGTTGTGATCAAACATCTGTTAAATCAGTGACAGCACACTTGACCTTGCAGCTGACTTGTTTTTTTTCTCAAGGTTTCATGGAAGAAATAAATTGAAACTGGAATGATTGAAAGACAGAAAACTCACCTCCCAAGATTTTAATAGTTTGAGCCTGCCCAGCCTCTATTTGAAAAGAAGAGAGACTTCTGAAGAGCCTTTGAAATAGATGGCAAAATTCCATCTTAAATATTTTTCTTAACAAAGGTAGGAGCCCAGATGCCCAGATCCAGCCATTTTATGGACAAACGGTCTATCTATAATACCTCTCTCACTGTCACACCACAAGGTGATTCAATATTCACTCTCACTATCATCTTGGCCCAAATTTCTATTGCTCTTCAGTTCAACAGTTTTCATTTCTTCCAGACTTAAAAGCTTGAGAACATGAATGCTGAATTCTTCTCCTTGCAAATGATCAGAGTTTTTATTTTCTTAAAAATTAGTGTTTTGCCACTGAGCTGTCCCTTGCCTCCATTCCTCAAAAAACAAAGAGAAAAACCCTAGAGCGCATCTCCCATTCACATTTTCATTGTGTGGCTACGTCTGGCCATTTACAACAACATAGCAAGTCTTTGCAATTGTTAAGGAGAAAGCACCATTCTGATTTTTTTTTTTTTTTTTTTTGTTAAAAAGCCTTTGCTAGTTGTGATGCAGGAAGGACAGCCTGGCAGGGGGCATTTTTTGCAGCCAGATTCACAATAGCTTTAACCATGATTATAGCATATAATATAAAACCTCTAGCTATGTGTGGAAGAAGAAAAGTAGCCACACCCTTAGTCCAAGGGCTGGAAAATGAGATGAAGCAAGCGTTACAGCTTTCAAAGCAGGGAAAATCAAGCTAAGTACTGTTTTTAACCAGGATTATGAAACTGACTTGAAATCAAGTAGGATTGAGACTATGTTTGCTGATAACTCCTGCTTATATAAATCAGGAAAATCAAGCAGGCTTATCTTTTTTATATAAGTATTGTGAAAGTGACTAGAACCTAATAAGAAGGTTTAAGATCAACTTCACTGATAGGTTATCCTTATTCCTTTCCTAGAATCAATTGCAGAAGATGGAGAATGCAAGAGCTGAGAAAACATGTGTCCAAATGCTGTGAGGCATGGAAAAGGAGGAGCAAACTTAACAGAGTTCCCACAAAACATAACCTTTGCGAGGGAAGGAAGGAAGGAAAGTAAATCCAGCTTGTGGTGCTTTTAGAAGAACTGATACAGGCTTAGAAAAACTTGGCTCAACTTTTAAAATTAACCACTATCTTGGGGAATGGCAGCTGGTCAAAGACTGCATATGGAAAAGCCCTAAAAAGTATTTAATTTTGGCTGAAGAGTGTACGTAATGAATAATCACCCAATGAATGAATAGTCACCCAAATCCCTACCTTTGGAAGGAAAGTAAAAAAATAGAAGCATGTGCAAGTATAATCCAAAATGCATAAATGTATATAGGCTTCTGTTGACTCAGGTCACGGTTTCATCTCTAGCTAAGTAAAAAGGACTACACCTGATCGGAGGCTTATTAGTCTGAGAGATATGAAGCATGAGATTTCCTAGAATGATACCTTTTAAAATAGAGAATCAGTTATGGGGCACAGAATGTGGAGGTTACGTCCTGCTTGTTCCCATGAAGGGGATCTCTAAATGTTCCACTCCTAATCCTAATGTTTCCTTTTACAACTTCTTCATGGCGTGAAACCGCCCCCCCTTTTTTTTTTAGTTTTTTAACTTTTTAAATTGTCAAATGGGTTTTAGTTTTCAATGTTTTAAATTTTGGGGCCACAGTTATTTAATTCTTTTAATAATTTTAAATTTTGTATTGATATGTGTTTTAGTTCTGGCTATGCACCACCCTGAGTCCACTTGGAGAAGGGCGGGATATAAATTGAATAAAATAAGTAAAATAAATAAATAGGAGTATCAGATCCAACAAGTGTTACCATCAGCCACTTGTCTTCAAAGAAATCTTTCTCAGACTTGGTTCACTTAGGAAGAGGTAAGTAGTAATTCTCCTTTTGGTAACTGTTTGAGCTGAAAGATTTGTGCTAAAAGAATCATTTTGGTCTAGTGGTTAAGGCACTAGGCTAGAAAGTGGCAGACCGTGAGTTCAAGACCCATCGTAGCCATGAAAGCCAGCTGGATGACTTTGGGCCAGTCATTCTCAGCCCAGCCCATCTCACTGTTGCTTTTGTTGTTGTTGTTGTTTTGGGGACAATAGGAGGAGGAAGGCATGCTGGATATGTTCACCATCTTGAGTTATTTATAAAAATAATAAAGATGGGATACAAATAAATAAATAGGGTTTTCCCCTCCCAGGTGTATGTTGTTGATTCATTAAGAATTTGAATCTTTATTATGTATACCAAGTCAGAGAACTAGAAGGAAATGGAAAAGTACAGAGATAGGGAAAAAGAGAAGACAGAAAGATTAGTTCTGAAGATCTCAGCTGCTAGTCTCCCTGACTAGGAAATTTCACATGCACAGATGCACACCTCAGATCATAACATTAAATTGAATCTACATTGCATCTAGCCCAATTGGTCCTAGTTTGGTATACAATTCCTTAATCATAACTTGGATATTTATGTTCTGGAGCTCTAACCAAGCCCAAAAACATGGGAATGAGTGCCAATGGGGCAAACACAAAAGGTAAGACAAAATGGAGCAAGTCCTTCCTCTTTTTAAAAGCCCACTGAAAGGGGAAATAAGCAATTGCTTTTTTGAATGTCTCTGCCAGTGTCACTTGATTAACAGGTAAGGTTTTCCTTTAATTTCCTTTTGTGTCTGAACCTCTTGGAATAGAATAGAATTTATTATGAGTACAGATGCTTACAACTTAACCTGGAGCAAGTTTCATTAAAAAAAAACAACCCATACAGACCAAGTGTTTTAATTCTGAGCTGTTATTATTCTCCCCAGTGCAGGATGTATCTAGTGACTCCATCACCCTTATACAATGATGAAGTCACTGGAAATATGTCATATAGCACACTAACTTCTCCACATTGCTAAGATACTGCAGTGGATGCTGGGTGATATAATTGTGCTCTCCCACCCTGTCTCACACTCCTAGACTCTGACTCTGTAGAGTGGGATACAGCTGTGGCACACTCCTGGGTCATATGGATTTCAGTAACTTGAGAGAAGAACTAAATAACATACGTTTTGGTAACAATTTGACTGCATTTGAAATAGGCTGAATCCATGTAAATTGCTATTGCTTAACATGCATTGTCACTTCAGAATCAACCAAGATAGCAGCCCTTATCATTATTTCAGATCAAAGGCAGTTCTTTTTAAATCAAAACCTTTCTTTTTCTGCTTTGTTTTAAATTGGAGTGTTATGCTGAAAATAACGCTCCAGTCTAAGATTTTCTTTTAAAAAAATGGATTTGATTTTCAGCAAACATATTCGTCTCAGGAAAAGACCAATAAGGGAAGAACAAAATCTTTGGATTATCGCTAGAAGTATTTGCTCTTCTCCAACAATCCAAATAGCCTGCTCAGCAGGAGACAGAGACATGAAACAAAATTCTCAGTGGCCTTGGTACAGTGTTTGTACTGTTGTTGCAAAACAATGAAGCTAGGCACAAGTCCTGCTGAAAGAGCCAGAGGGATCACATTTTGTCCCTGTATATTATCTGTTGGAATTTACACAAAAAGAAAGCTCATATACCAAAACTGCAAATATTATCTATGTGGAAAAGAACTGGATGTGTTTGATTGCCAGTGATTTAGTTTGTATTTACACCAAATTATATTTGACATTGTATTCATTTGCAAAAGAAACTGAATTAATTTGTAACTTAAGATAGCAACTTGAAAACAATTTGCAACCAATGTTCCCTTCATAAGATAATGTACGACAATAGTGCCGAGGGGCAGGCCAAGTAGCTTGAAAGAAAACTAGGAACAGGAAATAAAAACAAACATTATAATTGTGTACTTTTTTCTTATTAAAAACACAGACATTTACCTTCTTTGTGAATCCATAAAATGGTGCTTGCATTATCTGATAATATGTGAACTACTGCACTGCGATGTTGCTTCTTCCCGTGAAGGTCAAAAGGCAAACATTTATGCAGCAATTTCACCTCAATTCCTTAACTCCCATTTCCAAAGGCCTGACACTTGTGGGAAGAAGACATAAGATACAGTTGATCCTTCCCACATAGCTAAGCTTTCTTACATCATTCCATCTGAGGTAGGAAAGAGTAGTATTTCTACTGGGGAACTTACTCTAAATAGCAGACCTAACTATTCCGAAGCTTTCTAGATGCCCAGAAAGATGATTCCATTCCCAGTCATATCTTCTTCTGTGTCAAGAAATAGCTGCTCTGAACAGAATGATCCTGAAATTCATGAAAGCCACAGTCATGAACCTATTATTGAAGTTATGCCCCAAGACTTAATACATTATATGATACAATGAATTTCTTTCTTTCTTTCTTTCTTTCTTTTTCTTTCTTTCTTTCTTTCTTTCTTTCTTTCTTTCTTTCTTTCTTTCTTTCTTTCTTTCTTTCTTTCAGAAAGAAATCATCAGCAGGAACTCAGTGTCCTCTCAGAGTAATTCTGATCTATGCAACTTTAAGTTTTTGTTTTGTTTTTTAAGAAAAAAAATAAAGAAATAATGTTAAGAACAGCTGAGCATTTCCTGTTTGTCATTATGTTGTGCTGTCCGGAAGAGTAATCTTAAAAACCTTCCTTAAGAGCTAAGAACATCTGAACCTGAATGGGGGGAAAAATTGACCGTGTAGGCATTGAGACCATTTTTGAAAAAGCACAGGACCAGGGTTGAACACTTGTACTTATGAAGGTTAAAGAACTGGCAGCAGTGGAAATTTACTGGGCTGATTTATCTTCAAGCCAGGTATAGTCCAGACAGTTGTAATATGAGTTTCCTTATAAATCCATGGCAATAACCTTAACTCTGACCTTTGCAAGCAGACAAAGGGGACCGGAAATAATTCTTTATACTATTTTTCTTTACATTTTTTAAAGCTGGCAAGGCATTGCTGCTGAATATAGCTTCTCTTCTGTTTTTCAACAGAAATCAATGTACACTTTATGTCAGAAGTATGCAGCCTTCACTGGACTAGTTATTTTAAGAGTAAAGTCACAATAAAAGAATGATGATTCAAAGTTTCTTCATCTTGAGAAAGTCATTCATTTCCATTCCAAAAAGCTTGCAGTCAAAAATTGCTTTTCCTTTCCAAATATAAATGCTGTGTACACATGGTTTACCTTTGGTCGTACGATGATCACATAGTATTTATTTACAATTAGTTAAGAAAAACAAAAAATTCTCAAAATTATAGAGAGAGCTCTTGTTCACTCTCCAATGCAATCAGCTTTATTTAGGTTCTGAAACTCCATGAATGACAACGCCGGAGCTCACCTCATTTTCCTATAACCAGAACAACTTCCTACATAGTCTTCAGATCCCAACCCCATCCAGTTACTTTTAATAGATTTCCAGCAAGGTATCTGTGAGCAAGGTTTCATTAATGATTCCCTTTGTAGATCAGTCCGAATATATGCAGAGTTCGAGATGAAATAGCATTTATGGCATTTATTTATTTATTTATTTATTTTGCAAATGTAAGAAATAAATTAACAGTGTTGATTATGCTTTCAACAATTACTTTATAGGTTTCTGGAATTGCTGTCTAATCCAATTACATCATACCTTCTCCGATACAAAGGCACTTCCTTGTATAAAAATAAATGCTATTTGAGATATAGTTCTGACCCAACACAAGATATGGTCCTGGCTCTGTTTAACACAAGCCTACCATTCTTCCATTAGCAACTCTCAGATCAGGATTATGAAAGGGGTTGCAATTCACAAACTGTGTTGGTTCTATCATTTATGACCCTCAGAGTCTCACTTTTTAAGGGAAAATAAACTTTGAAATTGCACCTACGCATACACACAGAGACACATTATGATATGGATGAGATTGTTTTAATCAATATTGACTATTTACTAAAATTTGTTTCCTTCCAGCAATATAGAAAAAAGCCTCTATTATACCACACAATGTAATCTCTTTGAATGTTTGCCAGAATAAGTTTAGTCATGTTGTAACACAGAAAGGCATGCGCTGTCAGCTAAGTTTACTAACTGGAACTATGCTTCAATGCATTTGGAAATTCCTTCTTGAACATGCACAAACTTGCACTTAGAATCAAAACCATTTGTGTTTAGCAATGCAAGTTCTGATGGGACCTAAAAAAGTCAACTTGATCATCTCAAATAAATTCTTTGAAAGTAATACTGTGCTACCCTTCCGCTGCTTTGGGACGCAAATCCTGCAAACTGTTTATATGTGCATGAAGGAATTTCTGTTGGATGAAATGTTCTAATATACCTCCTACTCAACTGGTGGAATTGCAATTTCTAATTATTCAGAGGAAGAGCAGAGTGAGGTTTAAGGATGAGTGACAAATGAGTAATAATAGCGGAGGCAAAATGGTACATGGAGGCAAAAAGCCAATTAATTATATTTGAAAGGAAGAAATCTACAATGTTGAAACTATGAATTCATGTTTCAAAACAGAAATGTAGCTTGATTTTTTTCCTGACCTATTCATTTATTTATTACACGTAAACACACACACACACAGACATACACACTTATACAATTCTGGCCCCGTACCCTTAATTTCTGGTATTTTTAACAAGCTGCTTGACAGAAATGATGATAATGAAGAAGATGATGATGATGATGATTTTAAAATGTTCCGAGATGCCGTGGGAAAGTAATCCGGAGCTCCTTGAGGAGAATGGTTCTGAAGATTATCAGCTCCAGACATGTCTGCAAGAAGACCTCCAGGGTAGAAAGTGCCTTAGAACTGACCCTGATTCTCATAACACGTGCATCTTGCGGTTTATGTCACTATTGTCAAATTGTTTTTTCATTAAGAAGAATAGTATCAATAGTCTGTAGAGATTCTCAGTCATCCAAGTCATGGTTGTCCCAAAGGTGCTTTTTCAGGAGGCAACTGGACTTTCTTGTTTTTCTTTGAAAATGTTTTACTTCTCATCCAAGAAGCTTCTTCAGTTCGGACAGGATAGTGGGAAATGGAAGGATTTATATTCCTTGTAGACAGCTGGACAAGGGATTTTGTTTCTCAATCAGCAGAATAACTCTCTCAAAGCTAAGCAGAACAGGACCAAATTCAGTGTGGGAGAAATAGCAGCAAAAGAAAAACTGGGTTTAAAAATGAGCTGGATCTGGCCAAGAGTCTGCGTGGGGGGGAGGAGGTGTCCAGATTTTTTTTCTCCCAATTCTCCTACGGAAGAGGCAGCTGGGTAGCTGCCTGGAGTGTTGGTGACACCTTCTCTGCTCCCTTCTGGTTACATGATCCAGACCGGATTATATATTGCTCAGCCTATTTTTCCAGTGCATATGTTCAACATTCATACACACTGATGAAAAGGAGAAAGACAAAGACGTAACATGTTATTTGTTGCACAGATGCTTCCTGTGGACATTTTGGGTAAATAGGTTGGAAAGGATTCCAGAAATGGTGCTTTGTGTGCTTTCTCTACCTTCTTTAAAATTACAATAGAAAAAAAATACACCCTCTTCTACAATGAGGCTGCAGTTTCTGCTTCACCTCAAACAGGGCAACCATCACACACTATTCTTATACTTTAATTACTTTTGAATATAAATGAGGGGAAAAGGTAATCACATATCCAGCAAGAGAAAAGGCTATGCTTCTATAATTTTCTGCTATTCCAGGGCTAAGAATGTCGATTTTAAAATTCAAAGAATATGTACTATGAAGGGCCAGCCATTTAACAGCAACTCTTTCAGAATTTTGATTGAACTGCACATAAATCAGGGCAAATGAAATATAAAATATTTGTCAGAGGGTGGGGAAGCTAGCATGGTTTAATCCCAATTTAAGAGGGACCTCTCCTAGCTCAACCATTGTGGTCAATGTAAGGATTTGGAAAATCCAAAAGGAGGGGTGTGTTGTTGTTGTTGTTTGCTTGTGTCACTCAGAGTAACCTGTAAGACTAATTACCACAGCAACTACCAGGTTTAGATCATATAAGAATTAAGAATCTGCTTATTCTGAAATCGACACATTCAAATCCTTTATGTTCCACTGTCTTTATCTGGATGGCATGAAGGAACATCTATTTTTGCAGCATGAGAACATACATTGGAGACTCCATAACCCCATCTCCTGCTTATATCTCTCAGGGTATACATGAAAAGGCCTAGAATCTCCTTCTTCCCCTCTTCCAAATAGGACCCTCTCTCTTCCCAAAGGGAATCACCATAAGCAGCAGACAACGCAGCTTTCCTCTTCCAGCTAATCAAACTTTCCTCTTTCAGCTAATCAAACATTGCTGCTCCATGGGAGCCCATGGATAAGGTCTTGAGGAAAGGCAGTATACACATGCATTAAACTGGGCATGGAGCATCTCAAGCAGAAGATCCTGGAGCAGGCAGCTCTCTGAGACCTTGCCTCTCTAATAGCCTCTTGTCCTCTCTCTCTGCTTCTTTCTTAAGAGGGGCTTCACTCTGCTTGGGAGGGCAGGTTGAGTTTTGTCAGAGTTTGTTGCAGCAATCACATCCAGAAAACACACACAGGTAACTGATTCAACAGGATTCATTAACTTCTCTTTATATACAATATAATACATGAAATAAATATACAATACCAACAGCAGAGGAGAGAACAGTTTTTAGTTTCAATTCAGCAGACAGACTACTACTTTGGACCTTTTGCACAGACTCAGAGCTATAGTACTAAGCCACGCCCAGACTCCTAGCTGTCTCCAGCAAATACTGTTTCAGTTTCCAAACAGTCTCCATTGGCTGACTTAGTTGCTATGGCTATTCATTGGCTGACTTTGTTTGCCTATTCCAGTCTATGAAATGAATATACTCTGACAAGTTTTCTGTTTGTAAAGATAGAACTCTGTTCTATCTTGTGTAGGATAGAACAATCCTTTCCGAGGTCTTGTTATTTTCCTCAACTTTGTCCTTGGCAAAAAATTTTTTTAAAAAATCCACTAAATAATGGGGAAAGGAACATTTGATCACTTTCACTTGGCAGGAAAGTACTATTGTACATAGTTGTACAATTGTTGCATATGTCTGAACCCCTTATTTAAAGATCACTGTTCCAAACATCTCATTGAATTTACAGCACATCCAACTAATAAAACCTACTGAAAGATTTGATGTGAGATATATTTTAACCAGGCAAATCATCTTTTAATTTTTTTTATCCTTTGATACATTTTCTTGTATTACTTTGTGTCTCCTCCCCACCCCTCCTGCATAACTGCACAAACTATCCCAGAGCAAAGCTTTTAATTTTCTCACTGGTAAGACTTAATCATTCACCAGCTGTACTGCTGGGTGGAAATCTGCAAAGCCTCCATCTTCACTTGCTCATTTCTGATTCCTCTTCTTCCATACATTTCTCAATA